TGTTACCTTGTTTGAGATAAAGGTTTAGTTCTGCAAAGCGAAGATTTTGAACTGGCGCTTTGGTGAAGCAGAAAAGCTGGAGGAAGGCTTCCAAAGAGGTCGTTGACCTCTGCGCTCGCAGCCCTTCGCTTGGGCGTAGGTTGTGTGCGTTTGGGTACCCTTAGGTTTGACGTATTGAGACGAGAATCTTTGATCAAGATTGCACAACCTGAGAATGATCAAGGGTTTCGATGGACACACTGTCTTTTTCTTTTGGTTTGGTTGTTTTTTTTAAACTTCATCATCTATACAATGGTTTATTTAATGCAGTGTAGTTACTGCGGTTATTTATTAAGACAACAGTAAGCTTTAAGTGCCTAGGGAAGATGGGGGGGTGGGGAGGAATTGCCTAAAAATCTTAACAATTAGGATTATTTTAGGGGCAAAGTTGTTGATGCAAAAATCAAGTAGAGCGAGGGATTCTCAGGAGGAAGCAAACGTAACGAAATTGCAGTAAGTTTAGGAAATTCCTTTGCCCAATGTCAAGACACTGGAAGACTTTGGATTATGTTTTGTTAGGCTTTTCAATGTGAACTGCAGCCAGCTCGCTTGCTGGTGTGTAGCGAAAACTGCTGCTGAAGGGAAATCCTTGGGCTCAGGGAGGGTTCGGTGACGGGGAGGGGGGGTTAGTCAGGATAGCGTTTTGGCCCATTTGCTTACGGTAACAGCTCGTTCCTGGGAGATCCTGGGCGCTCGGCTTCTACAGGACTGAGTATTGCTCAGCCCTGCCCGAAATCAGATGTATGGGCCGTGGCCAGCTCTCACGGGGCAGGCGGGCCCTGTGGGACCGCCCAGTGATCCGGAGGCAAGGCTGACAGGAGCGGGGGCTTAAGGGAGAGGGCAGCAGCTGGGCAGGAAGGGGGGTGCGCAGTTTTACCCACCTGGATGGACGGGGTGTCCCGTAGCTGTGCTTTAGCTGTGCTTTTAGAACAACCCACGTTCTGGTGGTGCCTGGGACCAACACCATAAACGACAACAAGAAACATCAACGACTAGCCACTAGTTCCTTTTTTTGCACTTGAACTTAAATGTACTGTACTCACGTAAATCCTCATGACTTGTCTAAGTGTCCTTTAAAATCAGAGATGTATTTATTGTATGTTTGTATAACTCGGGGAGAGAACTACAGACGGAACAGGTGGCGGGACGGAAGGATGCTCAACATCATCGCGAGGCAAACCAGCCGTTCGTTGAGTTCGTGCTGTACGGGGTTAGCTCGGCTGCTACTGCAGAGCACCTGGAGTGCGAGGGGAGGAGCTTGTACACTGTGTTCACACTTCAGAGTCGTGTATTTGAAATGCCTGCTCTTTTTGGAATTGTATAGTCATTCTGTGTTGCAAAAAAGGACGTGTACACCCGGGTTTTGATATTTGTGAAACTGTAAAAACTGTGGTAAGAAATATAAAATATCCATAGCGTATTTAATAGCATCAATCTGCACTTTTTATTACGTTTACTCAAATTATGGCGCCAGCAGCGAATACAATCACCTGAACCGAAAAGGATTCAGTGATAACGACCTTTTGCTGGGTTCACTAGAGGACTGTGAACCAGGAACCTGAGAACGACTCTTGCACGGCGTTAAAATCTGTTCCACGATCAAATCTGACTGTAGGACACATTCCCTTCTCAGGGGTGAGGGGAGCGTGAGGGATGCACACGGCTGTGCCTCGGGACCGGGTCGATACGGTCAAGTGCAGGACGTGGTGAGTCAAAGGCAGAGCTGGGTTCCATTTGGCACCTGCCAGGTTTGAGACAGAGGCTGCTGATGGCAGGTCCTGTCAGCGTGTGCGGAAATACTTCCCATTTCCGTGCCTGATTAACGGAGTGTATTTGCAGTATCGCACCTGCCCTGTACGGCGGCACATTTGTCGGGAATTTATTTTTGTCTTAGGTGCAGGACAGTTAAAATTGAACTGTTTCGACTGCTTAACTTGGACGCGTTCAAAAGCGATGACGGGGAGAGAGCGTCATTTAGTTTCGGTGTGCACACGCAGGTAACTGCCGGACCTCGTCACCTTAGGAGTCTGGCCTTGTGGGGGTCTGGATCCATCACGAGCGGAGAGCGGGGATGGCAGGTTCCTTCAAGGAGATGCATTCGGGGCAGAGGGGACGCTCCAGTTTGGAGCAATCACTGCTAAAGTGCATGTTCCGTTCCTTAAATCGGCAACAAGGGAGAAAACCTCGGTGCATAAACACACCCAAGTTGCCGACTGCTCCCTGTCATAGGTCCTGCTGTTCTGAAGAGGGTAAATGTGTAAGGGAGGAGAACCACATAGTGGAAAAATACTTTTATTTTTAAAAAGTCTCAGAAGTACAAGAGAAGCGTATCAAAGAGTGCTGTACCATGAATACAAAATAAATATGAAATGCTGACTTTTTTTAACACCACAAACCAGAAGATAAACGTAACTCGCCCTTCGTTAAGGAAGAAAGGATTCTAGGACTGTTAAGGCAACGGAGTAACATCTAGATTCCATTCCCAGGTCTTCTGGCTGAACACCGGGCAGCACTTAGGAGCTGTGTTTCAGTAAACCTGCGGAATCGCTGTGCGACGTTGGCAAAAGGCTCAACTGGCAGCAGTTGCTTTTTGTTTATGAAACGCTTCCAGTGTTGAACAGGCTTGGGAGGATTTTTAAGGTCAGAATCAGCTATCCACTAAAGCGGTCATCGCCTTTCTCACGCACTTCTCTCCTGCATGTACTCAATAGTTTCCCGCTCTCCTCTGGATAGTATTTACCCATCCCTGGCAAATTAGGAACTTCACAACTACATAAAACGTAGGTTGATTAGTATTTTTTTTTTTTACCTATTTTTTTCCTCCCCTTGTTGGAGTAGGTGTATCTGGTATTGTTCAAAATAATTTAGAAAATGGAACATTATCCGAAAATTTTAATTGCCTGTAGTCTTTTTTGGGGGGCGGGGGGGGGCATTTAACATATTGCTTAGGTAAAATACTATCTTGATTTATTATCTGGGTTATTGCATATAAATACGTATTATGTACTTACAGCAAGATAATCATCACCTCCTCAGTGAAGAGGGGGAATCCAGAAGAACTGTGGGTTTAACTAGGATGAATCCGATTTTCGCCCTCGGCCTCAAATCACATGGATGAGAGTTCTTAGCTAACACCAAAAGTACAGTGAAAAAATGTTTAGTTTAAAACACTGACTTTTAAAAAAGTCAGACATTAAGGCATCTCTTCAACTAACCTGTCATAATTTTAAGTACTTCATTTTCACACTGGCGACAGAGGCAAAGGTAAAATAAATCTTTAATCTGCTAAGATGATTTGGGGGGGGAGTTTCCATCCTTCTCCCAAACCCAAACTCCTTCACAAGAGCTCATTGCTTCCAGCTCCTTGTCAGTGCCAGACCCCCCAAGCCAAGCCTGACTCCCAGAGCACGGGCGGCAATTCCGCTGTGGATGGCAGCTGCCTCTCTTGGAGGCAAGTCTGACGGCTCGTGGCCTTCCTGAACAGAATTCCCTTGCTCTGTTGTTATTTTTTGGTTGTTGTGGACCTAACAGTGAGTCTGTTTTGGATCGCCTGCTCGACAGATTGACCTGCTTGACAGATTCTGCGTATGTATTTGCAAATTTGCGGCACAAAGGGGTGTTAAGCCGTAAAACGGCGTAGTTCCTTTTAAGAAGAAGGAAAGCTGAAGCAATATAAAGGAGGATGGGCTCTCAAGCATCAACTCTGAGTCCGGTTTTACACGGAGGAGCTCTTGTGATATGGTCCAGCACTCGGAGAGGTAACAGGTTTTCTCAGTTGTCCATCAGCGGACAATGAGAAACCACGACAGCGCTGAGGTCACGCGGCGTCGCTAGACAGGTGACAGAGAACAGATGTGCCTTTGGAAGCACAGCTTTGCTGTTCTGACCTGCCCTTCAGGGAGCTGACTGCTTCCCACCACTGGCACTTCCTGGCGGGTCTGTGAGATCAGTGACAGAATTAATGGTCTTTTGTTTTCTGCAGTTTGGAAGACAGTTCATAAAGGTGAAGAGAGAAGAATATAGGGGTGGTTTAAAGAACAAAAGAAGGAATGACCTCTGTAGGTGTCTGAGGTGGGGTGACAGTGAAACTGAAAGCAGTAGTACAAGTACATTTGGGGGTGGAAATCCTCTCCTAAATGGTCTGCAGCTCTCAGAGATGGCGAAACAGGACTGAAGAAACGTTCAGCAGAGGGACCTGTACAAGTGGGGAGAAGAGTACACGAAGAAACAAAGACATGGAAAGCCCGAAGCGCAGTGTAACTAGAGCAGAGACCAAGAACAGAGCAATACAAGCAGAGAGAGAGAAGTCAGGCAGGGTTCTGAAGACTAGAAGGAGCTCAGAACAGATGTGGAGAGGTAAAACAAAGCTAACGGACAGCAAGCCGAGCCAGAAGAGCAAACAAACCTCATGCAACTGTGTTAATTCCCCACTGATCTTCAGCACAGAAAAGTCTCACAAACAAAAAAAAGCAGTTTATCAGCACACCGACTGCACTATTGAAATGGCTGACGCGCGGAGTACTCGGTCAAAGGAGAGTATTAATAATGGCTTCCCTTCCCTCTAGTGCTCAGCACAGAGGGCTGGGCAACGAGAAGGGCCCAGAGAGACTCTCTGCGTTCTGGAGGTAGTATCCTGGGAAGAAGGAGGCATCCTGGTGGGACAGGCTGCTCTCAGTACTTGCTTTGGAAACAAGCAATGTTTACTTCCCCAGTTAAGGTACTGACAGCATGAGAATCCTCTTCACCTGAACAGCCTGGCCCCTCTGGTTTCCTGCTGTTGCTCTTTTCAAGCAACATACGTAAACAGTTTTTAAAAAAAAATATTAAAAAAATTTTTCACAGATCCTCATTTGTCCAGCAGCAGACCCAAGCAATCACCAAGCCTGCGTTGTCGGTCTGTATCCTTCCCTTCTCGGATGAATGCATTTTCCCTCTCCTTTCCTTTGGTTATTTCCCAAAGCTCAGAGCAGCTCGGTAGCGTATGGAAATACAGTTCGTCTGTGCGTTTCATCTTCTTTCTCCTCATCTCCTTCGTGGATGAAGCTGGCTGGGTCGTGTTGCTCAGGTTCCTCCCTTCTCTCAAAGAGCTGCTCTTCCAGGAAGAAGCTCCCGATGCCGTATTCCTCGTCATGCACCTTCGCTTCCGCAGGCAAGACGTGGGGAGATCCCAGAACAAAATCTGCAAACCTGCCGGATTTTTAAAGGGACAGGTGATCAGCTGAGAAAAAAAAGAAAAAAAATCCACCCAAAGAAACTGTAAATGCAAGGGGATACTGCCAATGAAGCTGGGATGTTGTAGGGCCGTGCCACAGGCAGAGCAGGTGAGGGGAAGCTGCAGCACAAGCTAGGGAGTCCTGGAAAACCGAGAGTAAACCCCAGCGGATGGCAACAACCCTGAAGATCTGTTTTCCTGCCTCGTCTTTACAGTCTTTTGTATGTAACTAACTTTTGCTCTTCTGGAGGCCATCTGCAAGGTCTTGTGACTGAGCAAGATCTAACTTCGTCTTCGCATCCTGTCAGCACTCACGGGGTAATCAGAGGAAGCATTTGTAGTTGGAGAGATGGCACTTCGGCTTCTAAAAATAAAGTTTCAGCGTATTTGTGACAAAGGCTCCAAGAATTCAGGTAAGTGGACACTGCTAATGGGAGCAAGGCTGGTGAGAACTTCCCATTCCTACGCTGCCTCGCTTCTGGTGCTGCCTGCACACGCTGGGCAAGCTGAGCTCAGGGCTGGCTCAAGAATTCCTGGGTTTGGTGAAGCTGGAGCTGCAGGCTGGGAGTTCTGCAGCTGCTCCACGGAAATGCCAAACCAAAGGTCTGGCAGCACAAAGCATGAACTCGGTGCTGTCCCTGTGTGTCACTCTGCCACAAATCTTACTTTCAGGGGACGACTACGCTGGGGAGAGAGAAGGGAGCTGGAGGTTTCTGGCAAGCGTGTGGAAACAGACGGCTGTTCTGACACCTGGGTAAGTGTCGACAGCATCAGAGAAACGTAAAAGGGAAATGCAGCTACATTCTGGAGTTCTGGTAAACTGATCAATAATTTACATTTTAGACTTAACATTTCTGCGAGATGAATGTTGTCACCTCGCTCTTCTTGGAAGCACTGTTAGTCTAAATGGGGAACAGAGTTGGACTGGCTGCGTTTTACGGGTTTGCCTGGTGTCAAACTATCTTCTGCTGCTTAAGAGAAGTGGAAAGGGTTACTCAACTTTAAATCGGGGTGCTGCTGTTTCTCTTTGCTTTTGTATTTTTAGAGCGAGCAGTTTTTAAGAACTATATTAATGAAGTGATGGCTGGACACGTGTCTCAATTGTTTTGTGCATTTGGCATGACTTTGGTTTACAGTACTGCAGTGAGCTTGCACTTTTTGCTTCTTTCAATCGTGCTACAGAATGCAAGTAGCTTTGAAAATAAGATGGTTTAACAGTAAATCCCTTAGAATTTGAGCTAGAAGGGCTGTCTGTGTGTCCATCCAAGGAAGATGAAGGTTTTGAAACTAGTTTTACCTTTTTATTGATTAAATTCCAAGCTGACCAGGGCTCCTTTGCAATGGTGACACTTGATTCTGCGGTTGGAGAGCTTAACACAGGTAATGTGTGCCTGCCCCAATTTGACACGGTGCTCTAAAAACGGGCATTCCACTGCTCAGCCAGCCGCTGGCTCACTGCCTAGGAACTTACCGAGGCACTGTAGGAAGCATGTAAGTTTTAAGGACAGCTGCCGTTACCATGCATTACCTGTGAACGTCTGCAAACTCTACAAGTAATTTATGGTTAGGGAGCAATAGACGGAGTTTAATACCAGAAGCAAGTAACTGACCAGAGTCCAGGTGAGAGAATTTGGAGGCATCAAATCGGGTCACGGAATGATGGATGGGAATCATCCCTACTTTGAAAATAAAGTTCTCTCTGAAAAGTTTCACCGCAGTGAAAGTGGAGACCCGTCTTCAAAATCAACCAAGATCAAATGGAAATCTGGAGGGGATCTGCTAAAACGTTCTAAGCCGTGGTTTTTAGTGGGATTACTCCAGAAGATAAAGCTCCCCGGGTGTCTCACTGCACCCAAGATAAAATGCACCCGGAACGGAGCCCAAAGCAGCATCTGGATCTGCTGTGTAGCACCATCTGCACAACGTGTTTCCCGTTCAGGAGGAGCCAGATCTTCTTACCTATGCGGGGCCTGGAGTTTGGACACAGCTAACCACGACGGGAAGCCAGGGCTCCTGCAGAGCGAGCGCAGCTCCTCCAGAGCTCGCAGAGTTTCTGCTTCACCTTGTTCTCGATACTCATCCTCAGTGAGGTATTTAAACACTACATTTCTTGATTTAAAGCGATTCTTCATTTTTCTAGGATGAAATGACAACAATTAGTATTTCTCACATTTTCAGGCACGTAATTATTGTCTGTCCTTTTTCTCTACTACATGTTATGAACATGCATTAATTAATCCCTTTTAAGAGGACAAGCTACATTCTTCCATTAAAATTTTAGGACGAAGTGTCTCATGTTTGCTAGTCTGTTTACCTTAGGTCTTAACTGAAGCTGTAGAATTCCGAGAGATGAGCTCTAATGAGCTTCAGATGAGCTTTGGATCAGCAGCTTTTTGTGTATGCATGGACTAAAATCTCGCAGAATGAAATAGATGGCTGCTTGCTCAGCCATTCTTAGGTGCAATATGCAAAATGTGTCTGTGCAGAGACACGGGCTGAATCAAAACCCAGTCTGCCTCTGTGACTTCGGAGATAAGCAGTGCTCTAAGCCTGCTGTGAGTTGTTCGTGTTTACTAGATCACTTCTCTAAAATCTTGCTTTAAATTACAAAACTGAGTAGTCTGAGGCCAAAATGTTTACAATCTGATGTTTTTTTAGCTGCTGCGTAGCAATGCATAATATAATTAGATATCAATTAGAAAGTGTGCCATGTTCTGTTCCCTTCTGTCGACTGCTTTCAATTTAAATGTTGTGATGAGTTAAGATAAGCAAGGGCTGGATGCCCATAAAACCTTCAGCTCTGTACAAAAACACCTGCTCCAACCAGCAGCATTCCACTTCCCTCCTTATTTTCCCTGTAAAGCATGAACAAACTGTGCCCTCGTTCTAGTCCAGTGGTAAAGGTCTTCCTGGCTCAGTGGGATCAGTACGGATCTTACCAACAAATAATGCAAGATTCTGAAGTTATTTTGACTATGTGCTGCTCTGAATTGTGTATCTGGCATCACGGCTTCACAGTTTGGTGCTGTTGCTTAGTGTTTTGAAAAAAAACAAACAACACAAACACCACCTTATTCTCCTAAGAGAGATCGTAGAGCTGTGTTTCAGTGGTTTTTGGCTTTACAGAAGTATCAGTTCATGAAAAAACAAGACCTTGTGGACAACAAACTGCAGCGTTTCAGGGTAAAACTGTGTTCTGGCTTCTGTGAACTTGTAGGAAAATCTGCGTACATCAGGTAAGTATTAGTCTTGTATGTTGCTTTTGAAACAGCTGGTGCTTCTCAGCTGCAGGCAAAAAGCAGTCTTCACAGGATAAATTCTACCAAAAATGAAAAAGCTTGAGCCCAGTCTACACTCCCAACATCTAAAAAGAGCACAAGAGCAAAGCAGTATGCTCTTCAAAACTAAACTATGTATAAAAGACTAGAAAAGAATGATTTTTTTTTTTATTCTTTTGGTTATGCCAGTTCCAGCCTTTGCCTCTCCTTGGTTCTGCCCGGTTTTTAACCCACAGCTACGGAACAGGCTGTGTTAAAGACTCGCAACCTGCACGTCATCACTGAAGGTAAAAGACAGATGTAAATTGCCAGGACTTTTTTTTTAGAATCTTCATCTGAGCGTTGCATTTGTGATAAAACATGCTTCAAATTCAAGGATGAGCAAACACGCAGTTCCCGTATCGCTAAGGAAAATCCTTAGTAAACTACAGTCTGCAGATCTCCAGCAGTTCCCGTTTCCAAATGGCACGATCTGAGCGAGGTGCTGCGAGTATGGGGGAACATCTCCACAGCCATAATGCTGTTTCCATGAATTAAAGGTACATCTGAGGTAATAACCCTGGGAAACTAAAATCAGTGGAAACCCCTTTTGTTGTGGACATGGGTTTGTAGTTTCTGAACTCGACAGAGTCTAATTTACATGGACTGTGCCCTAGTAACACCTGCTTCCTCGGCGATAGCACCAGATTCAGGACGAGTTACCTGCAGGTTCTCTCAGTCGCCGTGAGACCGAGGCAGTATTGCTGCAGCCTCATCCAAACAGAAGCGTTTTGGTTACCACGAGCTGCGGACTAGAAGGGGCTACATTTGGCCCCGAGAGCACAATCAACATTTCTCCTGTTCTCCACAGAACAAAACTCGTGCTTAAAACCAAATGGAAAATCGTTACATTCCTGGGTCTCAGGGCTTTAACCCTTTTCTACTGCAGCTCTGGTAGAAATACAAACTTTTTTTGGTAAAACTACCAACTAGCACTAGAAATTCGTAAGTCATTATTGACGCGTAAGAGCCTTTTCGCTGGCGGCCTCCAGTGTTTCCTGGTGCAACTGGGCCATTCACAGGTAGATACAAACCTGCCAACGCGACAGGCAGCGCCGAGGGGGTAATGCAGGCCTTTGGAACAGAGGCTGGCAGCTATTACCGCGTACGCAACCTCGGGTATGGTGACACCACAATAAATCAGGACAAAGGCTGTTAACTGCAGCGTCCATGCGAACAAGGTTATGCTTCGCTCTGCCGTAAGCGGGCCGTGCTGGTAACAAGCCACAAAGCTGGTCGTGCCAACGGCCAGCAAATACCCTGTGGGAACAGAAAAGCGGGAGACGGAGAGAAAGATGCAAACTACCCGGATAAACGTCGTGAGTCCGGTTCACAAAGCTTGGAGATGCCGTTTCTTGTGTCATCTTACGGACACCTGCGTTACGCTGAGCGCACTTTGTATTTCTAAAGCCCGCGAAGACTTGAGGAGGTGACCTACATACGAGCACTGAGCTGCAAGGGAATTCTCCCTGTGCACAAACATCGAGGCAGATCTCTGGATCTGTCAGCCCCTGCAGCCGCATCCAGTTAGCGATTTACGCATCCAGCGAAATACAAAGCAGCGCAGCTGGTGATGTAATGGCGACTCACTGAACAAATAATACAGGTAAAATCTGCTCTTAAAGCTGCTCCCAGCCCACTACATCAAACTCCTTATTTCATGACACAACATCATGAAATGCTCGTTTGAGTGGATTAAGAACCTTTGGCATATTCTGATGGCCCAGGAGAAAAAAGTACTTCATAAGTGAGTCACTTGATTTTGTTTTTTATGGGCAGGTATTCTTCTAACCACTAAATTAAACCAAAATCTGCAGCATATTTTTTGGTAATTTTCTTACCCAACAAGTAGTTTCTGTGTTCAGACCACAACCACTGCATGTTCTCTTTGAAGCAGTATATAAAATAGAGAGAGGACATCCAGCAGCCACTCATTAAGATCCAGAATGTGCTGTGCTGAAAATTATACAAACAAAAAAAAAATTAAAAAATTTCAGTGCACTTACCTAGCCACAGAACCAGAGCAACGGCAAAATCTAGCTCTGTACTCTCCTTATATTATGATGCAGATGATTACTATTGTTTATAATTTGTTTGATAAACATAGATTTACCCTTGGAATAAACCTTTTAAATGTCAACAGGACAAAGACTAGCAGAGCAAGAACACCCAGGATTACTCCAGAAAGGTAAAAGATCTTGGTACTCCTGTAAGAGAACGAGAGAGAATATGGTGAGAAGCGTAATGTTGTAACTGGTTAAAATGCCAACATGTGTAAAAACAGTGATGTTCTGTAAGAACTTAACACAGTTGTAGGTACAGGGTTAACAGGCCCAGTTCAGGTATTAAATCCATGTAAGGAAAAATTCTGAACAGGTACTTAAGGTCGCTGGAGCTGTTACAGCCTAGGAGATTGTGCTTGGTTTTTTTTAAAGCTCACACTATTTCTGATTTCATTCACCTTCCACTTCCTAGTAATTTCATTTTCTTCTATGCACTGATACGGTTTTGCACTGCAAGAAAAGTTGTGGGGTTTTTTTAAATTCAAAATGTAAACCCCCCTCCGCAAATGCCCAAGTTTTTTTTCTAAGCTTATGCATTCAGAAAGTCTGACTTCTCGGAGTTAACTCTATAAAACCTATTGCTGCTCTGCTTGTTTCAGAGGTGCCTCCTCACAATCGGTGACTCATTCCGCTCTGAAGTCATGGCACACAGGTTTTGCTAGAAGATTAACCATATCCTCCCTGCCATGCTTTGCAAAACGTGCATCAAAAGAGCGATGGGGCAAGGCTGGCACAAAGGTGGAGACAGATGAGGTCCCAGGTGACCTCATCCGAAGCCTTTCTGGCTGCAGGAAGGTGTCGTTTATACTGCAGGCAGCTAACCTCCCTGGCCTACAAAAAGGAAAGAGAATTTTTCTCAGTCCACACGCTTGCTCGCTCAGGTTTGTCTTGGTGTGGCCCAGCCCAGGAACCCTGACACAGCTGAGTGATTAACAGGGAGCAGCCCTCCCAAGATATGCCCCAGTCAGCCCAAACACAAATTGTATGAAGAACTTTTAAATACAGGTTCAGTTTCCTTCTTTCGCTTTCCCAGGGAACTGCCTCCCTAGCTTAGAAAACAGACCAAAAGGTGCACAGGCTTTGGGAAAGGAGTTCAAAAATCAGCAGCTAGTACTCACCTGCTCAGGCTGTTTGCAAAATGGAACAGAAAAATTCCAGCTACAAATAAAAACAAGAGCATTCCATCTAGCACTAAAAAAAAGGGGAAAAAAATAGAAATGGACTTTAGACTAAGTCAGTCTGAAATGTCAATTGTATAAAACATCAACAGAAAAGTCCCGAGCTTCTTACAGAAGAGACGGTAACACTGGCAATACCGAGCGATCTGTAATCTCAACCGAAAGCTTTTTTACTTACTTCTTCGTTTCACACTCACGGTGTACGGTTCAGTTTTGAAGGGCCGTATTACGAAACAAATATCCTCTCCATATTGCTTCATCCATATGGAAGTTTCTGTAGAGGTCTCTGGTTTCCAGAAGATTTGAATAGCACAAGCAGCAAACTCGAAAACGGTTTCTGAATTACGACAGTTGCTTTCTTCGGAAACAGGTTCAAACCTGAACATTTCTCTGCTGTTAACTCTCACCTGAGAACAAAAAAAAAGCAGCAGCTCAGAATCACTGGGGCTTTTTGAACTACATAGCCTATAAGCCATCTGTGTGATAATGACAATCAGTACAGAAAGCTCAAGAAAAAACACTAGCGCAATTTTTAGTTAATATTAGTTATTAGTATTATGCAAAAATTACTTATTTAAGCCTTACAAGGTGAGTCAGAGGAGTCAGCATCAGCATCTGTGGAGAGGCCGCAATCCATCCAAAAACTTGGTGGGTTTGTTTGTACCAGGACACTTGCTCCCCCACCCCGAATTTCTAATTAAAGCTAATAATTGACTGACCACAGTTTGTTTTGTGGCCTTTCATACGCTTCCCCATTCCCCTTCTGAACCATGACTCGGCTTTTCTTGTAGTTAATAATGCAATCTTCACGTTAGGGAGAGAAAAGGGATACGGAAAAGGAAAGACATCGTAATGAGAAATTTAAATATAAGCACGTTCCTGCTGGGTATTTGGGGTTTTCTTGCTGGCACCCTCCCCTAGTAAACTGGTAAAAGATAGTGTTGATCTTCAGAGACGGGCTGATCTTTCTGGAGACTGTGGTTCATTGTGAGCTCTTCAGTAGGGCCTGTTAGACAACAACGACCCATCACAAAAAAGTGATGCGACAGGTAATCAATCAGGCTTCTACTAGGAGAAGACACAACACATCAGCAAGCAATTTGTTGTGGGAAAAAAATCTGAACTTCTTGCTTTGAAACATTTACTCCAGGACAGCTTGGGTGACTGCTGGAGGTTTTGCCCTCTGAAGTCCATTCACAGAAACAACGACAGGAAAACAGTCCTGGGAACAGACAAAGAGATGTTCCACTGCCTTCTGGCTTAGAGCAAATTCCGCCAACAGAGATGAAGTGAAACTGTTTCCTTCCCTTGTCTGGAGACATACTTTGAAGGAAAAAAATAGAAAAAAAGAGGAACCACAGAGTCAGCTTGTTCCTTTAGCTATTATGGCGTCCACTGCGGAGAGATTTTTAGATTGAGCTCATCTCTACACGTGTTTCTTCTGAGACGAGTCCCTGTTAGAACAGACATGCACTGCTACTGCTGCTTTTTCATTAGTCACGATCTAATACGCTTTTGCTTCCTATACTGTGGCCTGGAATGCTACAGGGAGTGAGTCACCGAATTGCATTTTAGCCTCCAATTTAAAAACGTTACAAAGGCGTGTGGTGATAAGCAAAAACATCTGTTGCCAAGGTTAAGAGCGGGCCATCAGCAGAAAAGATGTGCAAGAAAGTAATACGCGACACTACGATAACGTTCGTGTGGCGTCACCCTGCGAGCCCGGCCAACATTCTTGTCACGGAGAGACCAAACCTCACGGCGTCCACAGCAGAGGATCGCAGTGCTGCATTTTCACCGTGGTCCTACCCAGGCACGCTTCAAGCTGCTGACTCCAGAGATACTGCTTTGATCTTGGTACCTAATGATGCTCTTAGAAATGTACTGTGTATCCCAACGATCCCCAAAAGGCCTCTTACCTGCAGGGTCGACCAAACGTACTGCAAGCGAATGGTTCTGTTTTGCACGTAGCAGTAACAGTTTTCACCCCGCTCCTGGGTGACATCCATTTCCTGCAGAAGCCTACATCTCCTACCTGGGGAGGGGGCAGAAAAGTTATTTTTAAGCATGTATCGAATACAACCGTTTAATTTTCCCCATTGTCATAGATGCCGAGGGAATCACAAGGAATTTGCAGATAATCTAACGTAAGAAATGTGCTGCAGGGTAGCATGTCCAACATGATTTAGATGAAAATCCAAATTAGACTTTCACGTTATTTAGGCTCCAGAGTAAACTGCCACACTTAAGAAAGAAAAAAAAAATTCATCTAGAGTGTTATTTTTTAAAAATGTAATCTGTAAAAGCTTGGCTGTGGTATCAGTGTTTTGATGGCACTGGAATAGGGCCTCTGGGCCAAATTCACTGCTGGCACGAGTGGGTGTAACTCCAGCGGAGTCGCTTACACCAATGGTGAATGCAACTGTGGGAGTCTGAGCAGGTAAACAGGCTTACATATTAAAATAGTCATTTAGCACATGACACAGCTGCTGATCGCGGGAATCATACTCCTCTCCCTCGGAAGTGTTCCTCGTGTTAAATAACAAGACTTTTCTTTTAAAAACCTATTTTCCTGATGTAGCCCAGCCGTGACATGTCAAAAGGCAACTCGGCTGACCGCTTGCCCTTAAGTCATTCAATCAGCGATGCTAACTGGTCTAACCCCCAAAATATTAGTGAGCCCCTGGGACCCTCGGAATTAGATTGTGCTTTTGAGCAGAAACGCACCTAAAAGATTTATGGAGCAAACTCTGAAGACTAACATGCATTCTGATCCCTATACATGTGTAAAACATACCCTACAGTGCATTACCGCAGGGTTCCAGGAACATAATTAAAGAGAAGAATAAAGGAAATAATTACAGATCTGAACAGAGGGAATCATCTGGCTCACTGAATAGAAAATGTAGGTCTAAGCCAAGCTCAGTAATAGCTGCTAAAACACTGTCATACGCTCAAACAGCAAAATGAGTATGTGCAAAACAGTCTCAATCTGGACAGATACTGTTTGCAGGTAAAAACCTGCCCTGTCTCTATAAGGAAGCTGAACTTAGGCTAAATTATTTTTTAACCCCTTTAATTGGGCCAATGAAAAATACTGGTGTGGATGTGCTTACGTAAGTTTATCACATCGCACCAGAATTAAAGTGTCCACAGATGATCTTGCTAAAGTAAATTACTTTAAACTTAAAAATCGGGCACTTTTATTGTGACAAATTGATCGTTCAATTGATTTTTTATCCTGGGCAAATGCAGCGGGAAGGAGCACAACCCTTCAGGCACAGGCCGGCTGCACCTCCTGAGAGGTGCTTCCGTAAACGCAGTTGGGCGAAGTCGCAAAAGGGTTCGTTTGTCTCCATCGCAGCCCGCAGGTGAGGCCGGGCACTACCCAGGGCGAAGACCAAGAGGATCCAGCCGTAAGAAACGGCAATGCCTTCAGCACGACCAAAACGCAGCCGAGCGCCCGCACCTTCCCCACAAGGGTGTGTTGGGATTTTCTGCCGCTACATTTAACCTATCCACGCACAAGAAGTTGTGTCCTCCATACACACCGCTAGCACGTATTTTCTTCCTCCAGCCCTTTAATTGTAAGGTGTCTTCTCTGGAAAAAACGTAATTTCAACAGGGCATCAGCTCCATGGAGTCCCGTTCCAAAAGGAAAGATGCAGGGTAGGTTTGGATTAGATGTTAGGGAAGAAGTTCTTTCCTCGGGGGGTGGTGAGACACGGGCCCAGAGAGGGGCTGGAGGCTCCATCCCTGGAGACATCCAAGGTCTTGACGGGGCTCTGAGCAACCAGAGCTAAAGGTGTCCCTGCTCACTGTGGGGGCTTGGGCTGGATCACCTTTAGAGGTCCCTTCCAGCCCAACACGTTCAGCGATTCTAAACAGGCAACCATGGAAGGAGCAGGCTTTAGCTGCCCTGAAGACACACAGAGAGGGCAGCTCTCAAATTTTGAGATTACGAGCAGCGGAGAGAAAGCATCTCCTGCAGAACCCTTCCAAACGTCAACGTGAGGAGGGGAAGCAATTTCTTGAAGCCGGGTATCGCTCCCGCAATGGAGAACAATCTTGAGGGTTTCCACTGCCCTCGGTAATAAACGGTCTGTCCCCAGCCCCATCCCCCTGAGCCAACTTAAGGACCAAGGG